ATGGCATCCCCACAAACATTATGATAATTTCTAACTACCTGTATCAACTTTCTACATTCTCTATACATCACAATTTTATGTTAGGAGTTAGGATTTCAACAGTTTAGTGAAAAATGTTTAGATTTTGTTACAAATATCTAATATTCCTGATTTTACTGAAATGATACCGACTACTGCCATCTCAGAGAAAGATCAGATCGCCGTGATAAAATTGTCAATTTTGTGTCTGATGTGTCTGGTTCATAGAAGAACAGATTTGATGATGAGATAGAACTATACAGAATATCATAACAATCAATTACTTCTCATGTCCCTTGAAGTAAACAAATGCAGATAATTTCCATTGAGTAATTTCTGATTTGTACAACTTTCCCAAGAGTATAAGTGAAAGTGATGAATGTTCCCTGGAAAACATTTTACTACAGAAAATTTTATCGAAGATCAATAACTATGTAATAAAGGTGTTCTGGGGACTTAACTGGCTACATTTTACATCCTCTTAGCATGACCAATGCACACACTAGTTTTAATTTTCCTAGTTTAAATGAAAGCAAAATTATGCTATGGATATATAATGTTAACAAAGCCGACTAACTCTGTAATTAAAGGGTTACAGGCACTGAATTTTGGCTACTGCACATCTTCTTAGCATGACCAATGTATAAATCAAGTTTCATTATCCTAGCTTAAATGAAAGCAAAGTTATGCACTGGACATAAATTTAAACAAAGGGCAATAACTCTGTATATGAGGGGTTGCAGGCCCTGAATTTGGTACACTGTGCATCATCCTTGTATGACCAATTTATAACCAAGTTTCATGATCCTTACTTAACTGTGGGCAAACTTATTCTCGGGACATGAAAGTACATATAGAAGAATAAATGACGATTATATGACATTTGTAGAATTTTGAGGGAAAAAATGAGAAAATATCAGAATGAGCAATGTTTCATGTCATAAGTTCTAAAACTGTGTATTACTTTAAACACTACTTTGTGCCTGCCCCAATTACACTGGGTATCTGAGGCAGTTCACCATGAAAATGCATCACTGTCATTTTTTTGTGACATTTTTTTTTTTTTAAATATGTGAGACCACCCAAAGTGGTCTCTTCATAAGAGGGAGCCTTTCAATAAAGTATTTTGTGTAGTGAACTGTTCTCACAAATTCAATTATGTAGGATAACTTTTGCACATAACTTGTTACCATTATGAAACACCAGATGTTTTAGATGAAAACTGTACCTTATTGACACATATGAAATATTTAAGCAAAATTCTTTACATTTAAAAAAAGTAAGAGAGGTGACAGCTCTGCCGAGTCTGTAGTAAAATGTCAAATATTTTCCAATGACATAGTGATGAAGCCAAGAGGAAATTGATCCTTCCGTCCTCGGGTGGCTCTTTCATGTATACATCACATATGTTGTAGGTAACATTCCAGATTATGGCTATACAGCTCATATTTCATTCTTACTTTTTTTTTTTACTATTTCTACAAATCACAATATAAAATGGCCAAATTCATATCAAATGTAATTACTTAACTGATCACTGATTTAATTCATTGATATATAGATTCGAAATATTTACATCATATTGAAACAAAAGGATTATGTCAAAATTTGAAAACATTGGGTTACAAACAAAACATTGAGACAATTGTAAACAGTTGCTGGTGTTCATTGACCTCCTATTCCTCTCGCGTTCTAGAATAATAGTCTCCTGAATTTTTACTACTACAATATACCTACATATCTATGTGGAGACAAATACTACAAAGTCGGTGATGCATGTAATATCAGTTTTCCCAGCTGTATGTAGGTCAGGCATACACACCATTGAGACTGAATTTTATATACAGAAACTGACACCAATGGACTGTGTTTTGTACGTCTCCTAGTTTTATAAATGTTTCTTAACATATCTGTCAAACTAAGATTTCTCAAAGCAAACAATTTTTGTTGCAGTTAAGAAACTGTAATTACCATGCTTTCCTTGACTTTAGTAAAATGTTTGCATGGAAGACAATAAGTTGGTGAAATCCTTTTTTGATCATTAATCATAAGACTAAGGAACACACCAATCCAGCAGTTGGTTTAAATGTTCTTAGATTGAGAGACATCTATATTCCATTGATAAGGTTTTATACTACCAACATACATCTAAACAACATATCACATTATCTAATGACTAAAGTGATATTACTTGATCAAATTCATGCAATTCAGAAAACATTATATACAACACATGGAGAATTTAATATTAAATAAAATCATGTTTCTTTGTACTTTTCAGGGATGGATTCAGTAATGAAATGTAAAAATTGCAAAGAAAAAAAAATTCAAAAAGAGGTTGTTTTGAAAATGGAAAATGTGAGTACTATTTTGTTTGCTACATTCCCAGGAACACAACATGTCACCAGGCTCCCAGGTAAATGTAGCAAGCCTACTACTACTATACTCACAGATCTAGTTTTTTTAAAGCCTTGTGACATATTGATCACAGATGTCGCATGAAAACTAAGGAAGTTTATTTGTGAAACATGTTATCAGCTTTAAAAAAAATTTTACAAAAAAAAATATAAGAGGAAATGAAAGTCTGCATGTTTTTCCCAGCAATGTTCAAGTAGATAGATGGTGCTTAAATCTGTATAAATACAGACTATATTTGATAACTAAACTTATTCTGCTTGATAAATTTCTATCAGCAATTTGAACTTTACAACACCCAAACATGTTTTTACAATTTACTCAAAAATGCATATTCCTGGAGGAAAAATGATAACAGCATTAAAAAGTATAATGCTATGTATGTGTGGTTGTACAGCAAAGACCACACCTACAACACTACACCTGTATACCACACCTCCACACCTGAGTATTTCATTACAGGTGAGTCTCTACCTTCACCTGTCCTTACAATCTGATGTTAACGTATCCCTGGTGACAAGGATGGTCTCCAATGTCAAACAAACTTTGGAATATACATATTTTCTAACAATTTGAAAAAAAACCAACTCAAATATCACCAAGATTTTTTTCCATGATGGAAGAAAAAAGTTTCTAACATGACCTGTTTTAAAAACAATTGCTGATCACCTAAAGGTTTGGAAGTTAATATTCATCAATTGATGTTTTAAAGAGAACATTAACTTTCAAGTCTGATGTAGAGAAATTCAACGAGTGTTTATACCCTCTACAATTCAACCTTTGTTTCAAAACCAAATTCCTGGGCACTATTGGGATAGGGGACCAAACAGTCTAAAGCTCATTCCATATGAATCCTCTAGAACTTACGCTGAAGTAGAAAGATACATATACAGGATATTGATCTAAATAATTATCTTTGAAACACTGTGAAAGTGACAATTTTCTCAGGATCATTCGTATGACATGATTACTTGACCTATTTTGCACCTGATCAACTATTCTGAACTTTTTGGGTGGGACAGATAAACAACTAAAGCTTTGTATGTGTGCACCAACACTAGTTCAACTAACGGACTCTCTGACTTCAGGTAAAATAATTTTTCTATTGATGTGAAAAAAAACAGCAACAGCACATGAATATGAGATACATGTAAGAAATTTCCTTGTTTGAAAGGAAAATTTTCAACATATTGCTGGTACTGTTTTGTAATGATATTGTAGTTTATGTTAAGTTCTGAGGATTTTGGTAAGTTAACACTCAAAAGGCCCTGTACCTCTCCAGTATGTTAACCCTCAGTCATTCTCTGACCCCAGTGCAATATTGACGTTCTACCTGTCGATCACTCATTAACACCACTCCATCACAACAGTATCACTAATTTTCGCTTAAAAAAAGTACTTAATTGATCTAAACTCAGGCTGTTTTTTCCATTATTTTGTAACCAGTGCTTCAACCTGTTTCACAAGTTCTATTGAAATTCGAACATAAATATGTAACAAAAAAAATTTTGTTCTGTAAATTCTTTCTCAAATTATGATTGTTTACATTACTTTTACTTGGCATGGAGATTATAATTAAGATATCCATGTTTGTATCACAGCTGAGCGACCATCATGTTTCTTTGTCTTTCATCTGGTATATCAATAATCTAAAATTTACCTCCTTTACAAAATTTCCCATCCTTATCTCGGGACATTGCCTTGTGAATTGCAAATGCTACAGCAAAATGTCAAATTCCAAAACCGGATATAGTTAGCATGGTATATAAAAGGAAAGATTACCGGGCTCTGGGAAATGTGACATCACACAAGAGTCAATTAAATTTAAGCTTAATAAAAGTATAATTCAGTTTGGTACAGAGGAATCCTATCTATAAATGGCACGAGGTAAATGTGAAACCTGACAAATTCCTTACATTTAAATAAAGACATAAATTGTGTCCAGTCACTATAATTATCCAGGTCAAATTAGAATTCATGTTAGCCCAATACTCAAGGTCAGATTTGTGGAGAGACCATACTGATGATAATATAAGGACAGCAAGATACGTAAATCCCCAATGTCATTCATGATTCAATGTCAGATTTGTGGGGACGCAAATCACTGATGATCAAAGATCAGATTTGTGGGGATACAAATATACCACTTATGATCAAAGGTCAAATTTGTGGGGACACAAATATACCACTTATGACCCAAGGTCAGATTTGTGGGGACACAAATATACCACTTATGATCCAAGATCAGATTTGTGGGTACACATCTTCAACTTATGATCCAAGGTCAAATTTATAAGGACATTTTTACCTTTTATTTAATGTTTTCACTGTAATGTACATGTCCTGTAATCCTATTTCAGTGTTCATATCACAGTACAGAAAACAACAAGTGTGTGTATACACCATGGATAAGTTTATGTTCAGAACTCAGCTGAAACATTTACATACATTGTTGCACAAGAGGTAGGTTTCATTACAAACAATGACAGTCTGGATTATTTTACATGTAGCAATTCCACACCAGACAGAGATATGGTGTCACAATTCTTATGAAAACCAGCACTTACTTTTTGCAGCATTGATGTAGGTGCGCAGTTCCTTCTGGAATTTTTGTGCAGTTTCCTGTGAAATAATGTTTACTGATAAGCAGCCTTCTTATAAACAGGTACAACACATTAAAAGGACAAAATCTGTTCTAAATAGTATACTGGTAATACACAATTTTTTCTATTAACCTACACAATTAATTCATTTATCACAAAAGTTTCCATTCAAACATTTGTATGTAGATTAAAAAAAAAAATTAATGTCCCTCAAATATTACATAAGTCATGATAAAGTTTCTTTCTGTTTTTCTAGGGTTTCTGTTAACACTAAAATTAAAGCAATTTTCCACAACATGAGAAATGTATTTAAGAAAAATGTTTTTTGAGTTACATTCAGAAAGCATGATTCATCAGTCTACATCAGTTTACATCAGGACATGAACATTTCATGAAAGGATGTGTCAATAACCACAAGTGTAAACTTCTGTTTACCATATTTAACCACTGTTAAGTAATAAGCCCATGCCTGGTTATAACACACACCATATCTGTTGTTCATAATTGTAAAAAATTCTATTTCATTGTCCTGTAATATACCTATCTCTGACGTTCAAGACAGAATTTGTATGATGGCCCTATAAGACTTTTTTATCAATTTTAACTTTTGCCTATTTCCAACTCCCTAATGACAGAACATAGTCATTGCATGTACAGTCTGAAACATACTATGTAGAAAATATAGAATTAACAAGCGAAATGTAAATATGATTCCCCAGTATAGAAGTTAGGTAGAGGGTATATACCAGTGCTAACATGTACAAGTTTTTAACAAATGTGCACAGTATGCTAGGGATAAAATACATGTAGGTACACAGCAACAGGAAATGTGGTTTCCATACACACTGTACACATGTGAAGAGTTCTATTCGGTTTTTTTTAATCACCTCAAAATACCTCTGTAAACTTTAAGATAACAGCTTATTGAATTCATCTAATTGATATTTTTTTTCCTTTTTAAATGAAATTTCAGTGGGAAAAGACATTTGTGGTGTCCAGAAACTGTAGTGTCAAATTTTCAGAGAAAAGTCAATTGTGATGGTTAGAAACCACTTACATTTTCTACTTTTCATAGGTAAAAGGTGATCAGGGTGTTCAGAATCTGCGTACATTGTCAAATTCTCACAGGAATAAGATAATTATGGTGTTCGGAAACTGTACTCTTGGTCATATTTTCACTGGTAAAAGACACTTTTGGTATCCAGAAATTGTAATCAATAATGTGGTGTTCAAAAACTGTATACATTGCCAAATTTTCACATGGAAAAGGCAATTTTGATGTTCAGAAACTGCATACATTGTAAAATTTTCACAGGGAAAAAAGAAAATTGTGGTATTTAGAAACTATTCATTGTCAAATGTTCAGAAATTGTGCGTGTTGTCTAAATTTGATACTGTACCTGCTGTTTGTCAAGTTTGTGGACATACTCATCTAACTTTTCATCTGAGGTTTTTTCAGCTTTACCAAGATTCTGTAGAACCTGAAAAGAACAGATCAAGGTTATCATTAAGATTTCCCAATTGAACAATATCCTTGAATTTGTCAGGTAAACAAAATGATGTTTAAATAGAAAACATTTCACTGATGTACATGTGAAGATAACAGTATCATCAAGTTGTTTACTATCCCACCTCTTCACCGATATGATTAAACACCATATAGTTAAGACAACATACAGGTTTATAGACAAAATAACCTGTCTAAACCAGTCTCCATATCCAAGTCCTTATATAGAAACTGATGATCATTGAAATGTCTTCGTATCTGTAAATCACTTGTTATGAAAACATCCAGTTCAGATATGAAAGTTGACTGTTATTAGAATTTGTTTTATAATCTTTCAAAAGACTTGTTCTGCCTCAGGTACAGTAGGTATAGAAATGAGTCTATATATATGTATTGAGTTACATTGCTGAATTTTACATCCTGTTTTTCTGCTGATGATAGTTCTTAACCTCGAGGTCTGTCCAGATCTCCGTCCATACCAGCAACAACTCTATTACATATCCAATTTAGTCTGTTTGTCTTTCTCTCTCTCTCTCTCTCTCTCTCTGTCTCATTCTCTCAGTATGCTTTATATTTTGAAACTCTCAGCAAATATAGCTGACAATCTCCAGCCATAAATTGTACCATTTACTAAAATCTGTAGAACATGTGCTGCTTGAATTGTATAGCTGTGGGCGAAACTTCAAATTTTTTTTTTTAAGTTTTTATAGCCAAACAGTCAAGAGATTTGGTCCTAAATTTCACTTGCTTGTTTAATATTTTATATATATATATCAACCATCAAAGGTAAAAACCTGGTTGCAGTAAAATGGAGTATTTTTATTTCAAACAGAGTAACAGAGAGTTCTTTATTGCATTACACAAATCTATATCATACCAACATATTTACAAATATAAAAATTTTTAAAGATAAAAGTTTGTTCTCAATCTTGCTGACAATGTGAAAACTTCAGTTACAGGAATTGTTATTTGTTTGCTTCTCAATGTCACAAGATGTCACCAGTGGGAGACCTGGGGACACCTCTGTCCTGCCATTAGCCACATTCTGGTACAATTTTGCGTAGTTTAGAACATTGCCCAGGGCAACAGTGTCCATTTATATTCATTTTGCTATGAAGACATCATCTTGTAATAAGGTAAGAATGTTTGACATGAATACAGGTGAATGGCCCTTCACACCCACAGTGGGTTTTTTTTAATCTACCAAACAATCCATTCGTAAATTTCCCAAAATGAAATTCCACTCACGCAGGTGAATAATGCTGTGAATCTTAAATGTCTCAGTTTTAATACTGTACAGAAATCAACAACATTGCTTATACAGGTCAATAGAAATGTACATCAAGAATATTTTTGAAATGTTTAATGAGGTGAACACATTCAGCTACTGTTTAGATGTGTATTTGTTTTCAGATTTGACTATCTTGCCATAGTTATGGCACCTTCATAAATGTGAAAGAAATTCTTTATCTATTATCCAATCCCATCCTTAATTACTTACCAATACCCATCTATTGCCCAACTGTCCACCCCTACTTGCATCCTCTACCATCCAGCCCAATCTACACTGACCCATACCCTTCAGACCTAACACCTCACCTCATTTATTCATCACACTCCCCCCCACTCCCCTGCCATCCAATCCCAACCTGAAGTTACCCGTGGGCTTCAGGCCTTACATCCCATCCTCAATTTCTCACAAGATTATCCCCGTCTCCAATTTATGTCTCCATCCTACAAGAAACACAGATCAAAATCCATGTGCAAGTTGAACAGTGTAACTTCCTAGCAGCATCTATCTGACAATAAGCCTTTAAACTGTAAATTTTAGGCAGCATCTACCAGATTCTGACAATAAGCCTATGCTTGGTAATAAGCCAACAATAAATCTACCTCTTACTCTTCAGATATATTGCAGGTTTATAATATTTCTTTTTTCTTATCATTGGTAAGTAAACTAAATCATTTTTTTAAGCTAATGAGAAAATGATATGGCTAGCTAAGGTGTATTTGTTTGATCAATCATCTGCAGACCATATGCAACTGTGACTACAAAACCAATAATTAAATGGTAAAAGTATGCATGAAAGACCAGACAACACAACAATGATAAATTGGTATCAACAGAATTACCCTCTCTATTGATATCTATTACTGATGTTTACCCAAAAACAAATTAACAACAGACTCCTTCAGTTCATGCTCAAGAAATCACAAGTTTTGTGACTAATTTCATACACAACATTACACAATGTTACATGATCCTCCATATATTGTAATTCCTGAAATCACCTTCAATGTGACACTGCATGAATAACTTGCATAATTAGTATGTAATGACACAAGAATGAATTTTTACTGCACAGTACCCACAAGGATGAGATTTATATATACAAACATTAAAATAACAAAATCTTTCAAATATTTACATAAAGTATTTAAGTATCGTGACAACAACCAAGAGAGTAATGTAAATAATGTAAATGGTGAAAATTTCAGTGATCCTAAGAGCGGACAGGAATGTTGGACTGTCAGTAAATTTGTGTGGTCACTCGACTGGCACCGTCATGTTTGGATTAGTATTCAAGGACAGGGATGAGAATGGGGTTATCTTGTATTATTGAACATGGTTTATACTCAGCTGTGACCCATCACTAACGCCCTGTTGTTTCCATGCATGAGCTCACATTAATTCTAATTTCAATTAGAAAATATTTTCTTTCTCATACCAAAAACAGTAAATAAACACAAACTGAAAAATCTTGACTAGAACACATATTCTAAATGCCAAACCCTTATTTGGCACTTTTTACAAAAAAATGGAGAAATTTGTCTGCAACTTGTATGAACAAAAAAATATACTTTGTAAGTGAAACTGACAATACTTTAAAGGAAACAGATTCTTTAATTAATTACATCCATCTTATCAATTACTTTAGGACCAATGTATCACCCTAATTCTACTTTTGAATGAATTAAACTAGAGATGTTTACAAGCTGTTTCACTCCCTTCAACAGGTAATTATGCAAGTTTACAAGTGGGTGTAGATCCAGCATTAAGACTCCAGGCAAATAGGTGTAAATAGAAAGATACAGCGACCTATTTACAGGTAAAAGTTGTAAATACAGTAGATAATTGATTTACTAGTAAATATTTGTAAATACAGCTTTACCGGTAATTACATTAATTTACAAGCAAATTTGTAAAATACAAGTAAAATACATTGTAGATATGTAAATACTGTGTTAGTTAGGTAAATAGATGACCATAACAGTAACTATGTGTAGTTAAGAAAGAGTCTCTTCAGCATAAATTTTCATTATTTACATCTTTATTTCGGCTCATTGTATCAACCAATTCAACCACCAGATCAAGGATGATTTCTAGGATAAATATATTACTGAAAACTCCAGTACAATTAAAGATCCTGGGTCGCCTTAGGAAAAGTATGTAGTATTTAAAGTCTTGAAAGTAGATCTGGTAGTACACTGTAGATCAATTTAAAGATTAGAAGATACAACTGACAACATTCCCCACTTCGATGTAATCCTGTCGTCCCTGATAGTCCTAGGAGTGGTACCATATTTCTTAATTAACATCCATTACCAGCAAGTTCACAGTGCAAGGTTCAAAATAAGTCAAGGACCAGTGACTTTCAAAAGAAACCTGAGCAACTATTTTCTGATCAGAAAATATTTTTAACTGAGATTTGTAAAATGAGATTTTGAGAACATGTTGTGAAGTTGCTCTGTTTGTAGCACAGGATATATCTGTGTCCTTTTAATAGCAAAACAGCATAAAAAATAAGAAAACCCATTAAAATAATTCCATGGCACTGATTTGAACACCAATCAGAGAGGAAGATGAACATTCATGAATGGTTATGTATACATTAAGTATCAATGCATATTCTTCAGACGACACAGTTAAATCCATGAAATGCAGGGTTCTGTGCCCCGCTCCTAATAATGTACATGTTATTTTCAGCAGAAGAAAATAATTGACCATTTAACGTTTAACTATTGGAGAATTGGTTAAAAAATTAATTCTAAATCATGGTGAAATTTGCTTATTTATTCATAATCAAACAAATAAATTAAATAATTTCTTCAAAGATATCAAATTGTAAATAAAGATTTACTTTCTATTATGTGCCTGATGTAAGGTGTGGCTTGTGCAAAGGTCACATAAGTGAATGGCATTTTTTAATAACAAACTTATATTAGAACTGTGGCATAGCGCTGTGATTGAGTCCTTCTTGTAAGTGACTAGCAAAATAGTTTTATATTCTAAACCTTGCAATGATAAAGATGAAAAATTGGCCACCTATTGCATAGACATTTTATGATGTGTATCAATACTTAAGTCCTTATAGCTGTCTATTGCCTGTAAGCTATACAGTTAGGTGTGTACCTAGCTAGCACTGCGCATTAGTCAGGGTGACAGGTATGGCCTTTCAATTGTTTTTCTGTCTGACCAAAGGCCATACTTACGCTTCACTTGAGCTATCAGTTTCAGGGCCTTGCCACCTGTAATGGTCAGGTATCAGTTACCCAAAGCCAATGTCCCGTGTCCACTCGTGTCAACAAATAACAAGCCACATTCAACTCAATCATCTCCCTGGATATGTGTAATTTATACATGACAAAAGGTCTATAGAGTACATGATACTTACATTTAAACCTATCATATACCTAGTATCATGCATATTTAGTGTTCTATTTTATCGGTTATAATTACATAACAGGTATTGGTGTCAAGTTTACAGTATGGAAGGTCTTTGTCATGAGACATAATAGCACAAGACATGCAAACAAATTATGAGAAACTTGAAGTGTTGCCAGAATACAACAGGGATCATTCGAGTCTTGTCTGTCATGCTTATTATAGCATGACACAAAATTATACACTTATCAATAATGATAAATTAATACACTTGTAGTATACCAAATGATAACACTACAAACAGTAACTTCAAAATAATTTCAATTCTTATAACTTCTAAAATCCGTTCTAAACAACAGACTTTAACAGTAATATGTTAGGAATGCATATTGTACATAAATTAACTGACATATATTAATTAGGCTAACTCGGAATGTTCTCAGTTTCTCCATGGCTCTAACAACCTTTAATATGCATGTTAAGTCATTTAATTTTTGAGTCAAATTTAAGACATATAAGGTAAAAAAGATTTTCTGTAATACCACATTTAGTATTTTTAATTACCTATTCATTTTTTTAGATATGAAAGGCCTGGTATATCTTAAATTTGTAAGTATAGCAGTTTACAATCTGACATACATCATTTATAACATTGCCTGCAGTCATCATTCACTATACTTATTACCAAACACAAACAAAAGAATCTTTGTTAGAGTATTTTAATTGTTATCCTAAAAATACCCAGTAATATATTTAAAGCAAATACTGTCATTTATTTTTTTCTGTGAATATTTTTTTAATAGCTAATATGAGTCAAGTATTAAGAGTTAAGTATGTCTATAACAGGCTATCTATATAACTTAATATTATTTCAATAACTATTACACAAAACTAAACCTACAAGTAACTAGTGAGTAAATCTAATTCTTTTGATTTTGAAAGGATATCAATCTATTTGCTTTTTCCCAATCAGAAAACCTTTTCAATATTTCTGCAGTGCTACACCTGTGTACATTTGTGATCAAGTACGCCTGGCTAGGTAGGATCATAATCTGTTGAATCTACTAAAGGTATTTATCTACAACACGCCAAAGGTGTCAATATATCTGTTTAATCCCTACTGAGCTCTGGCCTTGTGAACAAGCTTTCAACAATCACTGAAATATCAATATAAAACAAATAAATTCCATGTACAGTTTACATTATAACCTGTTAACGACAACAAAACGACATGTAGATTCTATATGCGTTCTGTGTATAACGTTTAAAATACTTCTCGCTATATACTTCCGTGTTTACATTACAATTCAATGCTGAGGTTTACTTTCGTTTTCATTAATTTCTACACGAATCCTGACATCTCGATAAAAACAAAAGACATCGTTAATACAATGACTTTTCCTAGGACACAAGCTTGACTCTCCATAAGCGGCGTGTTGACAATGTGTGACACACATTTCACGCTGAGAGCAGAACACAAGACGATACACTCCTATAGATATATACACACTATCCAGTGGGCCTACTGTCAGTCAAAAACACCTGTTACGCCAACCGCTAAATCCACTTTTAAACTTCTATTTCCTTATATCCAATTAGCAAAGGCATGCTCAAATGTAAAATTCAAGTCGAGTCTGACAGATAAAAGCGTTTCACTCACCTTCGCTTTTGTACGAGTTAAAGTTTTTTGCGCTCTCGTGAAAATGCCTCCTTTGCTGTGATCTGCCATGTTGATTTTTCATCCTGACCTTGCCACAACTTTTCTGATTGGCTGGTGGCAGCGATGAAGTTTTCTATAGTCCGTTCTAATGTAAGCTCCTAAGCGGGCTACATGAAAGTGAATTTTGGCAGGACCCTTTGTTGTATTAATGTGATACAAACTATAGATAGGTCAAGGTGTGCTATCATGAACAATTTTCAAGTCACAACTATGTGAACTATTTTATCCAAAACGATGAATGGAAAGGATGGGTACAAATATGCCACTTTCGTTAAATATTTCAACAATAGTTCACACAACGAAATGCAGAATGACCGCGTTGCGTCAGGGGCGTATAATACTGTATTGAAATGCTAACAGTTATATTTCAATATATTCCAAGAGATCCCACCATCTTCAAAATCAATTAAAGTAAATTTCAACCACATTCGCCTTACTAATTCAATTTCAACCTGATGTACGGAAATGTGCTATAGTTTTACAAAATAATTATATAATGCTTTGTTGTTGCTGGGGTTAAAAGAGCAGATGAAAAAAATGCTTTATCCGTGGCAAAGACCCAACTGCAACATAGTTTAATTCTATTAGTTTTTTTTATATATTAGAAATGTGGTAAATGATGATAATGAAGTTATTACTAAACAGGAAGATATTTGTCAGGAAATTTGTTTATTTCATTTTGAAAACTCCTCTTTAATAATGCTCATACTACACATATTAAAAATCCTAACCTAACTGATTATCTTAATGTTTATTGTACACCTGATCTATCAAAACATATGAGTCAGATAATTTTGAAGAAGAAATTACATTTAAGGAGGCAGGAAAAACTTTAAATTGATGAAGAATAATTATGAATAAATAAGAATCCAGGCTCCGACGGAATTACAAATGATTTTTTCAAATTCTTTTGGGAAAAACTGGGGAATTTTTGAGTGAAATCCATTAACTTTGAGCTATCATAATGGAAAACTTTTTATTACACAACAGCTGGGTATAACTTGTATTCCTAAACCTAGAAATATATTAAAGAATTGTAGGCCCATATCACTTCTAAATAATGTATACAAAATAGCGTCAGTCTCAATCGCGAATAGGATACAGTTTTAAATAAATAATTAATTCATTAATAGTGACCAAACCGGTTTTCTTTCATGTCGTTATATAGTAAGAAATACAAGAATAATATATCATTTAATGTATTTTACTAGAGATAATGATATTCCTGGCATGTTACTTATGGTTGACTCCAAAAAAAAAATTCTGTAACAAAGGTATTCATTGAAAATGTTTTTACATCTTTATGGATTTGGAACTAGCATCATTAAATTGTTCAAAACATAACATAATAATGTCCAGTCAACTATTATTCAAGGGGGGATCTTTTGATTTTGATTTTATTTTATTGAGAGGGGCTGCTGAATTGGGACCCAGTCGCAACATACCTATTTTTTCTTGTTGAGGTTCTAATTCTAATAAAGTGAGAAACAATAAAAACCTAACAGGCATCAATGTTGATATATTACCTTGTCTGTTGTCCCAGTATGCAGATAATACATCTGTCATTCTTTATGGATCAGAAAAAGGTTAAAAGTATCAATATTTGAGTTTAAAGAATTTACAAAAGTGTCTGAATGATTTAAAGATAAATGTTGATAAAACCTGAGTGGTATGGATTGGAAGCAAAAAATACAACACAGATAGTTTTTTACTTTAATTAAATTTACATTGGGATGGGGAAATATTTGCATTGTTAGGAGTAGAATTGAGTGTGAATCTGCATGAAATACCAAAGTTAAATTTTGAAAGAAAAAAAAAGAAAAAACTCACCAAACTAAAATCCCTACTAAAAATATTGTACAGAACATCATTTACACCTAATAGATATTAGTATTATCAAATCACTTCTTATATCAATATAATATATATATATCTATTTAATCACCTGTTCTTCTCTTTACATTACCCTGATGATAAGTATCACAAAAACAGTAAGACAGACAAGATAAAAAGGGAGGTAATTACTCAAAGTAATGCCAGTGTTGGATTAAAAATGGTCAACATGACTGCTTTTATACAAGCATTAACACTCACCTGGATTATGAGTCTTTAGCCAAAAACAGAAGTAACAAGATATACTGAAATCACCTATTGATATTGATCTTCTTCCAGTTAGTAGTGTTGAATAAATAAAGATTTGTATAAACAAATGTAAATATGTTTTGGCATGATGTTCTAAAGGCTTAGTATAAAACACATTTAAAATACAATTATAAAATCTTTCATGAGAACAAAGACATAGTTCCAATTTGGCATAATAGTAAAATTGTTGTTAAAGGAAAAATACTTCTTTAAAAAATGGTGTGAAAGTAACAAAACTATCATTGATTTGATGAAAGACTCGAGTACTGACACATTTTACTCATTAGATGAATTTATTGAGAAATATAAACAATATACATAGCATAATCAACATTACTTACCCTTACATACCAATTAATGTACCAATCTTCAGCCAGGCAAAAAAATCATTCTATATTCTATAATCTTTTTAATAAATCTGAACTGGAACACATAGTTAGACAATGTTGACCATTAATCAAGGACTAGATATTACTGAATGCCATTCCAGGTAACAAATAGTACAAAACTTCAATGGTTCCAGTATAGAGTAATCCACCATATCTTTGTTACTTATTCTTTTAAGTTAAGAATATTTATCTCCCCTGTCTGTGTTTTCTGTAATACCAAAACTGAGACATTTACTCATCTTTTATGGTAGTATCAGGAAGTTCTAAACTTACTTCAGTGCTTCAAAACATTATATCAGGGACGGATATATACGTGATATATACGTCCCTGATTATATGAAGCCTAATTAATCAATTTCTCTGTAAACAACAAAATCCTTCATTTTTGGCATTCTTTATCAGAACCTCCTTCCCAGTAATCATGTTGACTATGAAATTGTCATAATTATAAAACGCTATATTTACAGGATGAAATGCTTTCACAACTCTCTAAATATAAATGCTCATATAAATACAATCAAAAATGATTATTTAATCCAGAAATATATTGTAGATGGTAAAGAGGACAAAGGAAAACAAAAATTTGTGATATTTATGATAATTTTTTCCACAAAATAGTACTAATTTCTACTTTTGGAGTCCTTGTTCAAGTGGAAAAAAGCAGATATATATCAAACACATTATGTAAATATGCAATATAATGTCAAATTTCATCATTTCTCATCTTAAAAATTCTACCCTATCAGGAAGTCAAAGCTAGACATCAAGAAATAATTAATTAAGTCAGGTTGATCAAAACCGAAATTATAAACAGAGGGGTACATTTAATGTTTACATTCCTTGTGCATGTAGGAGAACAACGGATGTGTTTAAAGGTTGTGAGAGATCGAACACCAGCTCTGCCGAAATTTGAACTTTCCCGCCTTTTTCATCAATTCGATGAGATGATTTAAATCATAACCTTTTAAAAACATAAAAAGAGTGTCACACAACTTAACACAAATATGTTGTTTCTATTGTTATGTACGTATTTTATTTCTAGATTTTGTATTATATTATTTGTAGATTTGCTGCGGGATGTACTTCCGCCATAGCGTTCACAATTTGCTGATCATGCCGGGGGTGACAACGACAACGAAAACGCCAGAAAAAGCTGTAAACGGTGTTACAGAAGAGCCAAAGAAAGATCCAGATGTCTTGACACTAGAAGGTTGCATTAACGAATTATATTCTACATATATATGATAGCGAGTTATCAAACTAAAACCCTATAATTAGTCACTATCATGTTGTGTTTTCAGACTTCTGTTTAGAGATAGGTTCAGTGGCTCATTGTTGATATTTCTACAACGCAATCGTGCTAGCATGTTTGCTTTTACATTAAAAGTTCACAAACCTCTGATTTTTACCATGAGTACATGTGCTAAAGTTAACTTTACCTAGCGCAATATCGAGTCAATGGTTGTTCGTAGGACAGACCGATAACCAGGTTACTGGCCCAGGTATTACATTATACTGGAGCACATGCAAAAGAAGGTGTATATGTAGCTATATTTGAATTTGATCATATTTATCAAGGTTTGGTTATCCATGGAGATTTGTGACATTACAGTCTTGATTTTGTGACACACCTTGATCAGATCAGGGAAAACTACTAATTTATTTGTGTAGAATATGCCAACTGGCCCATTATGCACTAATAGGGGTATGTATTTGTTTCTAAAAATAGCTGATATCACTTTGGAATAAGCCTTTTCAATTGTTTTGTTTTTTTGCCCAAGTCACATTCATTTACCCTTGAAACATCACAGAACTGCAAAAATAAAATTAATTTGCATGGGGGAAAGAACTGAAAATAGACGCCGTACACCCGACCTATATTACGATAGTATAGTTACTACAGCTGCGACTGTTAAATCAAGCTTCTATGTAGATAGCACTTTCAGTAAACATGTTTTGATGATAAAATATTTACCTGATATTGCCGAAGGTACTGTTTTAATTATTTTGGTTATTTTTAGTAACAAATTCATACTCCAGTTGACATGTAACAGGCAAGTTTGTATATCATCCGCAAATTTGTTGTTTCCTTGACCTGTTAATATTGAATACAATACAGGTTCAACCATTTAGCAATAGTGCTAGCCGCATCTATCAATACAATCCTTGAATTATCAAGGTATTCAGTCTGCATAATGAAATAACCAATTTTCTGGAAATTATAAAGTTGTGACATAACATTCCTGATATCTGATTTTGTTGATAGAAAAATGAAAATATTTCCCTTTGATTATGTTCATGAATATTCATTAAGAAATAATCCAATTCCAAGCTGAACATTTATTAAAAATTTGATGATTTTGTACATCTTTGTTGACCAAATTGTTCATCATATTTAAAAATCAAATTACATGAGAAAGATGGAAAGAGGCATCTATTTTTTACATGTACAGGACTGTGATTAAGAAGTCCTAAGTTTCTTTCTACCAATTCTCCTTTGAATGCTGACGTAGGCAAGGGTTACTTATTTCCTTCAATTTTTATAGGGCCAGGGTTCTGGGGTTCATTAACTACATGTAACAAAGTCAATGGAATGTCACAGTAATTTAGACCAGTAATTACACTCACTTGATATTGGTCACAACACATACTTTGTATATGAAATTTGATTACTTCAACCTGAAGGTAATCTTTCCAAAAAACTCATCAAAATCCGTTTAAATATTTCAGATTGGCTCAGAATTGTTTCATTCATTGCATATTAAGTAGTCTTTTGAGTTTAGTAACACCAGAGGAGGTTCAGTAATTAAAAGACATATTAGCTCCTATTTCATCTATTGATCATCAATTAATTATTACTGTTGCATGAAACAGTCTGAGAGTGAATCAGTTGAATATAAGCATTTGTGAAGGTTTGAATACTAAGGTTGATTGGTAAGAATTCCATTTAAATGTTTATCAGATTTGTAAACAGATATTGGCATGTGTGTACACTTGCAAATGTTTTATCCACAGTGTCTTGAAGCACTAATCAACATTCAGTTTATGAAAGTGACATAAAGTAGCTGAGCCATTTCATTCTTTATACCGGTAGTTGCAAGTTGCCAGCTGGTGGTATTATCCTACAAATTGTATCCTTTATTTGCAGACATCAGAGAACATGTTCGACATATCGAGAAATCAGTCTCCACAAAGGAGCCTCGGTATTTGTCGCGTGTCATGCGTGGTCTTGTGGGTATTAGACGCAGACTCAACCCAGTGGTACTAAGGAAGCTGTTGAATGGCTACATGGTCAACCAGGCGACACAAAAGGAAGAACTCTTGAAGTTCCTCGCTGAGGTTGTTTTTTTGTAAACTTATTATACTGATAACTAATTTGACGCTCTGTAAAGAAATTTCTTCTTTTTGCTTTTGCATCATTCTTAAGCAAGTGTCATATTTAAAAGTTTGCTAGTGATTTGCAAAGAAAGTTAATGTGTTTTATGATACTTTTAAATCTAATGATAGCCAGATATAGTGTGTTTTCACATCATACACCAACTTAAAAGCTTCAGATGGTTCACAAACTGATATTATACCTGTCTTTCCCTCACTGGGTTCATCAGGACAATGAAACATGCAATTAGAAGCCCTTAGGTACAAAAAAGTGGTTCAGTGTAAGGTGTGTTGTGAATTGTCTATTTGTTACATCATTATCATAGATATTATGCCTTTTAGCTTAAAATGCTTTAATGTTCTTAAATGTCAATTACATGAAAGTTTTAACAGAATGCCTAGAATGTTTTTGTGGTTTGTAATCTTGAGGTAACCATTACTATGATTAGGAACAAAGTATTTTCAATGGTTTGTATATTGTGGGTCCTGTTTTGTAGCCGATGGAGTCAGATGGACCAGAAACACCGTTCAGACCGAGGTCAGGCAAAGCAGCAAACATTGCATTAATACCGGAAGTAGAGACCTATCTTCACCTCCTTATATTGATTCATTTGATTGACCTACAGAAATATGACATGGTATGTTAGGAATAGACATTTTTATCATGTTATGTAGTCTACTCCAAAAAATATCTTTGATTTATGTCTAAAATGAAATAACATATACTGTCTTGGTGTTTATCCAACTGTAATAAGTCAAGGTCTGGTATTTGGTCTATTCCTATCTATTGCTGTTTAGTAGAATTAACAATGTATGGTCTTTCATTGCTATCCTAAAAGCAAACCCAATAACATTGAACTTGATGGACTCTAGGGTTTCTTGATAATGAATAAGTTTTATTAGTGAGTAAATACATAAAGTTAATATTCATATTTTGGTAAAAGGTCATGTTCTTAAAGTTTGATTTTAATCTGATAATGTTCCTATACCATTTATTTCTTCTTTTTTTTTTGTGAAATATCCTGTCATATTTTATTATTGCAGGCTGTAATGTGTGCAGAGTTGTTGATGTCAAAGATTGTAATGCATAACAGACGTAGCCTCAACATGCTGGCAGCAAAATGCTACTTTTATTATTCCCGAGCCTATGAGCTTACAAAAAAATTAGACAAAATCAGATCGTAAGTATTTCAAGTCTGTAACAGGGTAAAATGGAATGCCTGCCAATGTAGTTGAAACAAATAGTGAACATTTTTTATTTTTGCTTAACTATGGGAATAAATTTGAGTACTCCTGTCTCAAGTATTTGATATTTTCAGTGAAAGCTATAATTTCTTTGAAGGGTTTTTTTTCTTTGTTGGAAATTCATGTTGTCTAGACCAACTGTGGTTGTATATGGAAAGAGATGTTGCAATATAACCCTGTATATGTTTGCTGTGTTCAGTCTTTTTCAAGTAATACCACATAAACAGTTTCTTTGTCTAAATATTTTACTCTGAAATGTAAACAAGATAAAAAGAAAACATGGTCACAATTATCATAATGAAAAATCAAATTCCATACATTTCACACGAAAGGATTTGCCATATAGACTGGCTTTGGATTTGGTTACATTTTCTCAGAAAATCACTCTACAAAACAAAACCTTTAATGATGTGTCCAGCTTGGATTTGTGTCATCCTTGAGATTGAGAGAAAAAATGAACATCAATACTGAGAATACCAAATTCTCATCTGAAAAACATTAATTGAAATAAGCTTTGTTTTGCATTTAAATATGATTTAATTAGTGATCAGTCTGTTTATCATGTACTAAAGAAATTCTCATTATAAACCAAAAGTGGAAACATATTCGTCGATATAACTTCACAGTAAATAAAATACTACATAGAGAAGGAATTCTTAGTAACATTGTCATAAAGACAATTTCTATTTTGGTGTTTACAGTTGGAAAATTGTAACTGTATACAATTATTTATCTTTAGTTTCCTCCATGCCCGACTGCGTACTGCTACCCTGAGGTCAGACTATGATGGTCAAGCCTCTCTCCTCAACCTACTTCTGAGGAACTACCTTCAGTTCAACCTTATAGAACAGGCCGACAAGCTGGTATCTAAGTCCACCTTCCCTGAGAGTGCTTCTAATAACGAGTGGGCCCGACATCTCTACTATTTAGGTGAAATATCACATACATTAGGATGAGAAAATTGTACTTCTTAAGGAAATCTTCAGTGGAAAAAGTGAAATTTATCATATTCTTATCATATTTGATTTGTTTGTTACACAATATATCTTTAGATCCATTTTGAAAATATGTATGTAAATAAACAAACTTTTGTTGTGAAAATAAATTTGTACATTAACTTTACTATATTTCTGTCTGTATATATAGTTTATTTCTTAATTAACATGACTGGAAAGTATTCCTCTATTGACAAAATTAAGCATTGGTATTTACAACTAAGAATGCTTAGGTGTAAGGTATATTTCATGTCAATAGGTTGTCAAAAGTTACTTATCCTTGCTTACTTGTATGTCAAGTAGAGAGGGATAATTCTGCTTATTCCTCGTTTACTTGTATGATGGGATGAGAGGGAAAATTCTGGTTTCCTTAGTTTACTTGTATGATGGGAAGAGAGGGAAAATTCTGGTTTCCTTAGTTTACTTGTATGATGGGAAGAGAGGGAAAATTCTGGTTTCCTTAGTTTACTTGTATGATAGGAAGAGAACAATAATTCTGTTTGCCCTCATTTACTTGTATGATTGAAAGAGACGGATAATTCTATGTTCCTTAATTCAATTTGTATAAGAAGAGAGCAATAATTCTGCAAAGTTTTGTTTTCAGGAAGAATAAAATCTGCCCAGCTGGAATATTCTGAGGCACATAAATATTTGCTACAGGCCTTAAGGAAAGCTCCTCAGCACAGTGCTGTAGGCTTCAAACAGACAGTAAGTTCTATCTCTCCATCCTCCATTAAATTTGTTATTGGTGTCTGCTTTATGGTTTAACATAAATTTACAAAGCCAAGGACACAGGTCCAAGTTCTATGTATAATAGTGATGTTTTCTTGTCTCCAGATCCAAGAGGAACATCACACACAGATAAAATTAATTTAAGGCGTCTGTATTGATAATTTATGATCAATGTCAGAGTTACATTCTGAACTTGTCATTACTCCCTGTTTTAATTTGTTCTTTGAAGTTGGCATCAAAAGTTGTTTCACATAGTATTGATAGATTCCAGCTCTCTACTTTTGATTACAATGATAAAAGTGATTAATTAAGAAATTTTAAGGAAAATATTTCAGGCTTTTCCTGAAATGAGTTGATGTATGTGCTTGGTCAAAGACAATAAGAAAAGAAATTTGTTTTCCAGGTGCAGAGGCTGGCCATTACGGTGGAGCTGTTGTTAGGAGATATCCCAGATAGACATGTGTTCAGACAGAAATCAATGAGAAAGACACTGGCTCCATACTTCCAACTCACCCAGGGTATGTGTAACAACTGGTCTGAAATATTATCTCTAAAGCATGACCATTAAATGTCTTTGTTGTGATAAGAATAGGTCTAAACATGATGATTGTCTGAGCCACTGTAGTAGTAAAATGTCTAGAACATTATACAAGTAATCTGTTTCATTTGAAGTGTGAAGGTCAGAATGACTTTCAGTACTTACTGTAAATGTAGCTATTATGTACTAAATGTACTAGATATTCCATCAAAATATGATTTCTGTATGTCATTTAAATAGTAATTATTTTGAAATTTGAGTTCCTCATTGCATTTATGCGTTCTAAATTGATATTGCGCTAAAATAGAAATGCACTAAAATAAGTACATCTACAGTATACTGTAACAATGTTTTCCTCTTCTTCTGTTGTAAATTTTGTGTTGTAATCATAGAAATTCATTAGACTGATGTGATTTTAAGTTTGGAATTTATTAATCAGTCTTTAATTTGATTCGTTTGACATGATATGTACTATACATTTGACAGCTGTGAGGACGGGAAACCTAGCCAAGTTTAATGAGACACTACACAAATTTGGCTCCAAGTTCCAGGCTGAGGATACCTACACACTTATCATCCGTCTGCGTCATAATGTGATCAAAACAGGCGTGAGGATGATTAATCAGTCGTACTCTAAGATCTCTTTGATGGACATTGCACAGAAGTTGATGCTGGATAGCCCGGAGGATGCAGAATATATTGTAGCAAAGGTATTGTAACAAACCTGTTCGTGATGGAGATGTTTATCACTTATCAAAATTATTTCTTATTCATTTATCAGTCATTGTTTTTAATTCTGCATAGCCAGTTATTTTTGTGGGGATGATGTTTTTGCTATTTTGCAGCACATTGACATGACCATCAAAATTTGATCTGCGAAATGATGAGACAATATTTAGATGTTTCCATTACATCCGGATTGTGAAATTTCATTCGGTAAAATATAATAGCATTTCATTTTAACTTGTGTATGTGAGAAATATCTGTGGGATGTTACACTTATAAATTGATGGACACATTTTTAGAGACATCTTATTAAGACCAAACCATTGTTGTGTACAGGCTATCCGTGATGGAGTGATTGAAGCCACCATTGACCATGAACAGGGCTATGTTCAGTCTAAAGAGACAAGCGACATCTACACAACTAAGGAACCCATGGCAGCGTTTCACCAACGTATCAGTTTCTGCCTAGATATACACAATTCTTCTGTAAAGGTAACAAAAAAATTTCAAATGTCAAAGAGATTTTCCAGAAAGGCTTTTCAAAGAATATATAACAAAATGTAGGTGGTAGAGGTCTATGATGATAACCCTCAAACCAGGGGTTCAACCAATATAACTGTTACAACTGCTTACATGAACATACCCTTTATTGTTAAAAAAGTATTTATTGATTTGACCAGTGGTCATTCAATTCAAACTTTAACATTTTGATAACCGATTCCTCAAATAGCATAAAAAATACTGAAAATGTTTGCACTATTGATTCTAATAAAAGTTTTTATTTTTCTAGGCTATGAGATTTCCACCAAAATCATATAATAAAGATTTAGAATCAGCTGAGGTAAGAATAACAACACAATATATGGTTAAGAGGTTGAAGAGCATCATTCAATATTTAAATGGAAGACCTCAATTTGGACTGTGACTCTTTAACAGATTGAAACACTTATTTTCTAGCAATGTTACCAAAATTTTATTATTGCATGCTTGATAAAGATGTTGGTATATATTGAATTGGGCCCTGTTTGTGCAGTCAATATTTTGGAAATGATAATTGCTACTGCCATGAGTATAACAACGAGAATTGGTGAATTTGACCTACATTTGATGCTTCAGTGAATGAGTTCAAATTTTGTTTAAGAAGACTTGAGTTATATTAGGAAATCTATTATGTGATACTATAAACCAACATTTTTTTGCGTTCTATTTACTTTTGTGAATTTTAGGATTGAAGAAAATCCCAAAAATAAATCACTTTGAACTGAATCATTGATAATGAACACCAATGTTCATGCTTAACATTTGCTACTTTACAGTATTGACTATTTTACCTTGCCATGCATATTTGAATTCTATGAATTGACCACCTTTCTACAAAGTCATGCAAGCTTTTAAATAACTGATTGACCTGCATTTACTATCTAAACAAAAATTTGAGACACCTTGTGAATTTGAAAGTTATTAGACTGATATATTCCTCTGGGTGTTGCATAATGTCAAAATTCATTTCCGTCTGTGAACAGATCAATACTGACCCATGTCCCTCAAACGTCCTAAGGTAAGCTCACCTGTTGTGGACAAATAAGCAACTGGATATGGGCCTCCCTGTAGGGGTTGAAATGAAGAATGCTTTTTTGATTTTACAATGGTGGCTCAGAATTCATGAAAGCAAATTGAACTTGTTTTGTTACTGAATTGGTGAAAGTTAGTAGCTGTGAAAATTGTTTGCAAGATATGGATTACAGTTTCAGGATGAATATAACTGTAGTGTTACAACACTATTGCTCATTGTATTTTGAAACATCCAAAGGTTGCTACATTGTAATATGACTTGTCTGAAAACTAGTTTTCTGAGCAGGGAAATAGATGACAGAATCTTCTTGTTATTTTTATTTTCACATTTACTCTTTTTCCAGGAGAGACGGGAGCGTGAACAACAAGAGCTAGAAAGTGCCAAGGAGATAGCTGATGAAGATTTTGATGGGTTTCCTTAGATTGTGATAGACTTTTAAGATACCTGTCAAGATTAGTAAGGTGCATCATGTTTTGATATTACAAAACCCACTGTGTCAATATTTTTCCAGTAAGGCCAGCTTGGTGGTGATGCACTAATGCTATTATGTCTATTAAGTAGAAATTTGGCATTAAACATAACATCACATAAGTTGTATTTTTTCACATACGTGCAACATTTAAATGTTCTTATTAGCCTTGTGTTGAAATCTCAGAAAATTTGTATGCAAGTGTTTAGCTTGGTGTTGATGCTGAACTCGGAGGATCTGTGTGATGTTGTGAGAGAAAATTTCTGAAATAGAATATTGGATGAGTTACTGTAGACACACATTTAGTATTGATTTGTTGGAAACTTTAAGTAGTCCTTCAGCAATGGATGCCAGGACAGTATAGTGCTATTTATGTCATGTCATCATTTGATATGTTAACCAAATTTTAAGTATTTTAAGTTTTAAGATACCAGTGTTGCAGAATTTCTAAATATTTGTGAGGACATTCAAGGCAGTAGTAATATTTCAATTACGCTATTTCTGTGAGTACTACTGTTGGAAGTATATTTTATAACCAGTAAGGAATTAACTTTAGATATTGAAAGCACCATCTTCTGTCAAAAGGAACTTTACATTATTAAATATGAATTCAATAGGTAACACAGTCAGATCTGAAATTATTTTTCAGACCACAGTCATGAATCAATTATGAAGTCAATATGAACACTAGTTGTAATTTATTATCACAAGGGAGCTAACAAATCAAGGCTTATTTTGACTTTAACTTCTTTCGTAAGTTTTGCGCAAGTTTTTGAACAATGAATAAATATAAACTTGTGATTATACAATATTATATAAACTTGTCTTCATCCAATGTAGATAAATATTCTTCAACAACTTGATAGTTAGTGGTATGATACAAGTCATTAATGACTTATTGTTGATGAGACTAGATGTATGGGTGGAAATGAATGTATTTGTGTTCTTTGTAAGACTTTCAAGAGATTTTCAGGAATCATACAAAAATAATTATAATAAATTCATGATAAACATATTCAAAATATTTGTTGTCTTATCATTATGATGTATATGTTAAGTACCAGTTCCATGTTTCAATAGCCAAGTTACCAGTTTAGTATGTAATTGACCTTGTACATTTGTATCGCCTGATATTTGACACTTTTGTATGGTATATTTACCTCATCTTCACAATTCTTATTTCTTCTCTGAATTTGACTTGAAATCATCTGATGAATGTTATCTTGGTTAAATTAACTGTTCTACAGAATTACCTAAAAATATAAATGAGTCTACTTTTTACCATGTACTCTAGTCTAGGGAAGGATGAGATTTATTGATTTTTTAGGACTCGGATATTCAAGTCCTGGACTTGTACTTTTCCTGTGGGACTTGCCTGAACAAATTTTGAGAACTCAATTACTGTCTTAGTATTGGGACTCCTTGAAATGTCATAATTGGTATTTTGGACATGCCTGAAGAAATCTAACAAAAATTAACAGTAAACATAATTTTAGAGATCACATAGTTATCAACAGGTACAGTTAATTGTTATGTGAATTAATGCTGAATGGTCTTCACCTTAATATAACTGATATGTTTAAAAGATGAAACAGCTATATGATGCAGTTTAATACATCATTTTGCTCTATTGTATCTAGCTTTAAATTGGATTAAAATGTGCTTTTCACTTGTGTGTCTTTTGTACAGTCTTCAATGAGCACAAAAAAATATATATATAAAATTTGATACCTTTTGGCTAATGCTCGTTACTCTGAAATTTTTTGAAATTAGGTCAAGTTGAAAATTAAAACATAAATGTTGGAAGATATACAGAGATAAAATGAAGAAAAAATGAAATAAATGTTGGAAGATATACAGAGATAAAATGAAGAAAAAATGAAACTTATGATAGAAATTCATGTCAGTAGAAAACCTGTTGCTATGGTCCTACAGTAATAGATTGATGTAGTGTATGTTGGTTCATTAAACTGTAACTTGATATCTTGGCTGTTTACTTGAATTTAGCTTGATACAATTCTAGCGATTCAAATATCCATAAGGCCATTTCATGTGAAAATATGTTTTATATAACCATCTAGTTTTCAGTAACAAGAAAAGAATGTATTAGAAGAGTCGACCAAATTATCTCCCTTTGATTGCAAACTGACTTGAATATGTAACTGCTGTTCATTAAGATATATGCCATACTAATTCTCATTGTTAATACCAGACGAATGTTGTACTTATATCAGGAATAGGACTTCATTTTAAATCACAAAAGCATTTGATATGCATTGACATTTGTTTCAAATAAATTCCTCTCGACACATTTTTCTACTGGTTTGGAGAATATCAGATTAACAATTTTATACTGGTCAAACTTGATCTGAACTTATAAATGTCTCAAGGATAATATATATCAATAACAATATTTATTTTTATCTATGTATCTATTTATTTATTTCGTCAAGTTACAGAATTGAAAACAAAATATCAGATGAATACTTGCAAACAATATCAAGATATTTACAGCATGCATACAGTAGCATAATCATCTAAAGCATGTTGTCTTTAGGCGAGAATTCAATGATGGCAAATGACATTCAGATATACAGCCAAGTTAACAGCATTTCTGATTGCACAATGGCTAAAGCTAAATATTCGGACATTCATGCTACTAGAGGGACAAATTAATGGTAAAATCACAAAAGGCAGACAATTTCTCCTGCTGACACCAACCTTAAGCCAACAAACAGGCGATGAATACATCTACCAAGGAAGCAAAGACTGCATATATTGAAGAAGATTTAATTTGACGTATTTCAGAATAAGAATGATGATTGAAATTGAAAACAAATATGACTAAGGGTATTTTATATGTATGATTTATTTGTACTGATTCTAGTGATTTGTACAGTGACCAGGTTTCCTGTACTTACCTTCTATGACCTTATTGCAGATACATAATTGAAATATTTAAAAAGACTTTTTGACACAACTTTTTGACAAGGTGTGAGAAGTTTAAATTGTCAAATCCTTATCTTTTGATAAAAACTCGCCTCACCTCAAAGAAGAATACTTAATCGGGTTTCGTTTCATGGAGAGGCATATAATACATTTTTGTAAATTCAGCTTTCATACTCTAAATTTTACAACCTGTCAAATTCTCTTTCAAGATCTTCTTGTAATTTTCCAGAGTAAAACAATCATGCAACTCTTTTTAAAAAAATAGCTGTCAAACGAGTGGAATGTCTCGGAATCGCTTGTAAGTCATTTATATAAGAACAATTTGAACCAAACTATGTAACCCTAGGGAACAACTGAACAAACACTCAGATGTCGCTTATTTTTTTCGGCCAATCTTTCTTGCAGTCTAAAATGTTATCCTGATCCCACTGGTATAAAGTTTTCGTAGCAATAACTTTTGATTCACTTTGCTGAAGAAAAATCAGTATATCGATAGTATCAACGACAAAATCTGTAAAACTTGTGATGCTAGTTTTTGCAGGTCTCTTAGGCATAAAACCATGTGCTATGTCATTGCGTATCCAGATGGCTTCATAACAAACTGCCTGAAAAGGTTGTTTTCCATGCCGACTTCTTATTTTCCTATTCAGTGATATAATTCTGTTGCGATTTATTGATCCGTCTGAGATTGTCTGATCTGCTGAATGTCCAGCCTTCTTTGGATTATACGTCTGTCTGGTGTTCAGTAAGTCGGTACCCGAATCTTCTGTTCTATTTCTCCGTTATTTCTTGAATCCGATCATGTATTCTGCGACGTTCTCTTGGGATATGTTGGAGAGTCTCGTAGGGTTTCGTGGCTGTTGCTATCCAAGGCAAATCCTTAGAATGTTTTCTAACAGACATCTGATGGTCCGACAAATCATATATGATAGGGACAACATCAGGAGGATGGCCATCCCCGATAATCCAGGGATTACAAATCACTTTTGATCTTTGCACCCCAGGAACATGACATCGCAAAATAGAAGGCATAAGCGAAGTAATTTGATTGGTTAAAGGAGAAAAAAAATGACCAATCACATGTTGATAAGCTCCTGTTAAAGATTGCAAAGGAGCTACAACCAACTTCGTTTGATGGACATCAAAGGATCAAACTAGACTTTTCGTCTTGTCCACAAGATGTCGCACATGGATCCATCAATTTTGCCATGACATGTTCTAGGGATGCAGAGAGCGAAAGTGATTATAACCCCTGGATTATCGAGGATGGACAAGTCACAAAGAAGGAACATAGACAAATGTATGTTTCACCGTGTGTGTGAAAGATGGGTCTTTCTCTGAGCGTTGAGACCCCTTTATCTCAACCAAAAGGGACTGAACGACTACTTGTCTCTTACCCTACTTGCCTTTTTAGGTAAGTATTGTTGTATGAGTGTGGCATTTTTGACAAGACGTCATGAAACTGGCGTCCCTCCCTTCCCAAGGGTGAGGCCATGAAGATCAAGGAAATCTCACACCAGTGAAAGCGTGAAAACATGTCTACCTTCGGAGTATCAGGTACAATGTAAATATTGTACATACCGGGAAGGAGTAGGCGGGGTGTGAGATGTTCACTTATGGACTAAAATCCTTATTAAAGTCCAAAAACAATGTTTAAATTATCTGACGAATTAGCATTGTATTTCCTTAACATCAGTTTACGACCTCCAGTTATTGTATGTCCAATCTGAGAAGCGTGACATGTATATCTATGGACATCTTGAACCCTTCTCAAAAAGGAGTTTTGGTATATAAAAGTGAAGTCCAAAACATCGAAATATTTACAAAGAATACAGAAAAAGTTTGCACTTCATTGCTCGTAACATCCATCTTAAACCATAAAGTAATGAGTGCACGTATCAAATGGGAAAACAAATGAGGTACAGGTGTGAACAGTAGAAGAGACTGAGATCAGACTACACCTTAAGATCCTGTAACTAGAACAATTTGAGAGAAAAAACAGAAGACGAGAGACGACAAGCAGGTAACAAACTGGAACTATGCTGAGAAAAGACTTAGCTGAGCAGAGGTCACTAAGATCTAGAATTACATTAACCACAACTACATTGTCCTCTCATGGCAGCGAATACTACTCCTTCTAAATTTACAAAGAAAGATGGAACCAGGTCGAAAATGTTGATGACCCACTTTGTGATAAAAGACGAGCCTTGGAGCATATACTTTCTTCAGGACAAGTAGCATTCACACAAAAGGTGTATGAATGGAAGCATAATAAGGTGCTTAGAGTGTTAGTAATCATGGAAAGGAAAACCCATCAGAAAGTACAGACCAAAGCATGGGGCATTTTAAGGAGGGAGAAATGGCAATAGCGACAACACCCCGCAGGCAATGAATTATGAGCCAGGCTTGAGATTAGAACTCAGGTGTGGACATCGATCAGAGAAATACATTTCCGCCACTGGGGTTAGCAACAATCCTTCGATAGAATATGGTCTTCTTGGACAGCCAACGGGCCCCTGGGACATAGAAGAAAATCAAGACTACAGTCCTGTGGGAGAAATGGAAGGAGGTGTGCAGAGGCTTAGGGTTGAAAAGGGACTAAGTATGAATAGTTATCTAACTGGCAGAATGCAGAGACAAGTGCACTGAATGAAGAGAGTAGGGTTGACTCCTTCCCCAAAGACATTGTGTTACGGTTGGCTTTGGCTGATGACGTCGCATTGAAGCTGAAATCTACACCAGTACACCAGTGTTATCTTAAGTAAACCTTCATTCCGTGTTAGATTCTATGAATCGACTCTATGAAGTTTTTATTTTTGCGAGCTGTAGCGAAAGCAAACATGAAAACTTCGAGTCGAGTTAATTAAAATCTCATCTGAAATGAGGTCAGAAAGATACATTTTTCACATTACTAAGGAAAGTTGTATTTTGAAAGGTTTTAAAATTGAAGTGTAGGGAACAAAATCAAATGTGTGCAGCCGTGCTTTTAACGCAACGCCGTCATATCATGACATCACAAGTGATTTCTGACTGGCGCAGCCAATGAAAACGCTCAAGGGCATATTACATACATATGCAACCAGAATTTCGTCAGTTGCAGAATTTGATGCTATCCAATACAATGGCGATAAATATGAATCAAATCTGCCCAGAAATTCTCAACATATGGCATTTATTCGGGACTGGACGTGACGGAGGGGCGTAGGTAACACTAAAACTCAGACCCAACCCATCCAAACCATCATAAAATGGCGAGAGCATAAAAATCTGATAGGAAATACCTCCTGAATGTTTGGCAAAACAGCTTCAACCGGAAATAAGCCTGTGCAGAATCTATTATAAAGACTTTCACATAAATCTTTTGTATTGGGATTTCTATAAATTCTGAAGGTTGAATGACAATATATTTTTAAACAGCTACATACCAAATGCCAGTTCAATTTCTCTATGCATTAAAGAGGAAATGAGAGGAAACCATATTATGACAGAGCGACGGTCTGGTGCGCGACACTGTATGCCTTGCTCCGACAATTTCATCGGAGCAGAAAAAATATCGATGCCATCCCGGAGCCAATTCGTGTTCTGACGTTAATATGGTAAATATTGTATTCCATGTTCAACATACATCATACATAATCCGTAAATACTGATATTTGTTTTTATATATATAGTGAAAATGTGATGAATTCTCCGTATATATATTGGTTTTGGTTTTCACTTGGAAACGTGTAAATCTAATCGGTGGTGTAATTTAAGTTTAACGTCCTTTTCAAACACATATAATTGCTATGAAGCGACGTTTGTTCCTAACACCTTAAACATCAATCCCTGATAATTCTTAAGTGATATGTATTCTAAGCCTATGTCTTCCAAGACCGATTTTTTTCTTGCAGCGTGAAAAAAGTCCCTTGTGATATTTTGTTATATATATCCATAAACTGAAGTCACATCTGACAGTTATGATTTGTTTATCGCTGAGCGGATATTTTTTATCTCGCGATGTGATCCGGAACTTAAACTATCAGAGGAACAAAAAATATCTCTTTATGATGTAGATTTTCAATTACGATATTGCCTCTGAAACAATGTTGTCAAAAATTGCTTATTGCCTTACGTTTCGGTGACTAGGGAAATTATCACGTCTATTTAGTGTAAAAACCTACAACCTGGCGTGCTTTGTCATAAAGTTAAAAAGGCCGTTATAACGTCTGTATTATTCATTTCTACGAAGGCTTCAAAAGGTCAAGTAATAAGGTCGAAAATCAAACCAGATATCAAGCGATTTCATTATGTAAAAATTAATGTTTGATAAAAAATTAATTTATATAGCTAGACTGTCATTCAGCTCAACACGCTAATGTCCGAAAGACGTGACCCTTGACCTCAATGGCATTGCGCTTTTGAACGCAATGACTTTAATGACTGTTCAAATAATGGTACTGACCAACTATTACGATTCCTGACATCTTTGATATTGATACGGAATCTTTAACGCCATGAACCGTGAAAGGACCAAAGCCATTGTTAAAAGTTATGGATCGAAGTAATTGCTCAGATTTTATCAACCAAAATTAGTACTTTAAAATCTAAAGCATTCAACGCCAGAGACAGCGTCACTTACTCTGGGTAATTAAAAAATCATTAGCGTCCTTCTCAGCAATGTCTCTAATCTAATATGGTGACTTCATGAGCTCTTCTTTATGAAAAAAAAAAACAACAAAAAACAAACAAAAACAACACGTGAATACTGTATTTCTAAAAGGGTGCAACGCATTTGACCCCAGTGACCTTTAAAGTGGTGATATGTCATTCATTTATACACATTTGACAAACCCTTCATCATAGCATACTATTTCAAATTGAAAAAAAGTTTGGTTCCGCCGTGCTTTACATGTAACCTTGCAATTCTCTCTATGTCATTCGTTGACACTATGTATTCCTAAGTAACGATGTAGACGAAAAAAAAAGTTGCAGCAGGACCAGGGACGTATAATAATACCTCGACTGGAACTATATACTACAGCTGGTTTTGAGGCCTTGAAATAATCACAGTTTCGATTTGTGAAATAGACATATAACAGTACCGACATTAAAAATGCACACACTCCATCACGTTACGTTATTAAACATGGCGCGTGCGGCTGTACGTATTAATTATGTTATCAAGTATGTAGCTGCATGGCGATACGATGAAGCCACTATATTAGAGTCAGCTGTGTTAAGTCACGCGCCACGAGGATATCAGATAGGGAAATTTATTATCACTCAGACCCTTGTTTACGTTTGTAGTATACAGACCGAATATTAATACTTTTGGTGTTAATTATTGGTGGTGTGTAACATTCTTTGTGAAATGCAAACAATTGTAGTTTTTTAAAACATGTCGTTTTTCAGATAAAGGATAATGTTTGAAATATTATTGATCTCTTTTGTTTATTTGTTATCGGTTTTCCTAAATTTAATTTCACACTTAACTCCCTACGTGTTTTGCTTCGCTGTGACACTCCTTCTCTTTAGTTTTGTTTGTACAACACAGTCCGCTGTGCAATCCTATATTTTCTTTTCCTCGCCTATTTCCAAATGCGACGTGACAACAGCATGGGAGCCCTCGACCTTTTTTTCCTCTCACAACTGATAGATATATGTGCAGGTTTCCTACCTAATTGTAATCATTGTGCTATGTGTCAATGTACAGACGAGCATCTCGCTGTGTACGCGACCTAAACTTGTCACGACCCCCGGGGTTAAAGCTCGCCCCGTATAGCACATGAATTATTCAAAGGTAAACCCCGTGGGTGTGCGTTCCTCAAGCATGAATAATAAATGCTTGACTGGAGTCCCCAGGGCGTCAGCTGTAGTAAGGTATATACACCACGAGCCCCAACGATCGATCGCCCTGCCAGACTAGGGACAGAGGTTTCAGCCACACCAGTAAGCTTATTATAAAATAAAGCCGGCTTTTCAGTGCAAAAACTGGGGGTAGAGCTCAGGGTCTAAATCAATATCTCGGATCGCCTATCTATTGAAAATTGCCGGTTACACGACCAGCCCGAGTCTCTAATCAAATGGACTTGTCCTGCCCAGCCCGCCCGTCTGGACTTTATCCAAGTGGTGGTTAGATTGTGCACCACTCTGGGCCATCACAACGTGTCACGGACACAGGTATCTTGGTTTGCCCGACCCCAACACCATATATTTAGTGATTTTTTTTTCATCGGTAACATTTTGTCCGGAACGTATCCCCAACCTACCATACAGAAGGTACCCAGAGGCTTTTACTTTCGTTTTGTCTCTACGGTGACTGATTTTTATCAGCTGAGCCCGCGTCACGGTAGGATTGGCACCCCTCCGTCTCGCGCCAACTTTATCTCTGTACTTTGTCGTACCGAGGCACGAAAAATACCCACGCCCTCCAGGGGGAAATACGTCACTGCCATACTGTTCCTACCCACGACAACAACCATCCACGTGGGGTCGGCTAGCCCAATCAGGGCAGGGAGCGGCGCGCGAGGAGCGAGTGACGTTACAGTCTCGTCCATATATGGATATTGCCCCATAGTTGGTCCCCACCCATTCTCAGGGACGGGATTTCTAAGCCTTCGCCCACACAAAAACTACGCCGACCTAGGGAACAAAATCCGACTCGCGTTTTCACTGGTGGTAAGGTGAGTTGATTCCTGTACATGTTTACCTGTGTCAGTTTTAATTTCATATAGTATTTATCGTTTGTTATTACTCTCGTATGAAAACACAGAGCCAGCCCCAGGGTCATGGGCATAACGTCGCGGAGCACGTCTGGCCAGGAACAAAGAATACCTCCATTTAGACTGCTAAAATACCACTCTAATCGTCACCCATTGTCATCTGCTATATCACAGTGCCGAGCAATGAAACTGTTTAATTCAATAAACAGATTGTTTGACCGGTAGACTGAAAATGTGGGTGGAATCGACTGTGTATCCAGTTGATCGGCCATATTGGCTAACGAAGCTGGGGCCCGTCACGGGGTAATTGTTTTCCAATTTGAAACACGTAAATGCAAATGAAATTCGTTCAGATTTAAAAAAAAATGCCACAGTTATTTGATATCTAGCTAGTGCAGATGACAGGAACGTAACTGTAACACATGCCAAGACAAGTTGAATGTGACGGTTGAAATATACATGTTAAAGAAAAAAAATTATGACTAATGTTTATAAACCTAACTTTATTTTTTTTCAAGTTATATTAATTTTTAAACTTGTTTATGATATATCATAGCTTATTTTGTCATTAAAAGAAACGTGAAAATGTTATTAAAACAGAGATGTAAATTCTTCATTTTAAATGGATTCATGTGTGACTTGTCAATTATGAATGCTTGATAATCTTCAAAGCAGACAGATAGTTATGTCCCATAAAAAATGAAATGAAGGTGTTCATTTGTTGATAAGATTGAAAAATGTATTGCCATCTTTGTAAATTTTTACTGCACATCAACATATGCAGGAGTATATATCAAGTTAACACAGTTCATATGACAAATTAAAATTATGTGAACAAACAAATAAAAAATAAAATCTTCAAAGTTCCCCCTTTCATGTTGTGCTTACATGACAATGTTTTGACTTATGTTCAAGCCAAATTGTCTTTCTTGCATTTGAACAATGGGAAACTGTCTAAGCAAGCCCCTCTGAGGACCCTCTATATTTGGTCACTCAAGGTTCAGATAACCTTTGTCCTTTTTTCTGACCATCACCTGATAAATGTAGTGATGGTGGTGGTGGTGGGGAGGAGGGGGTTTATGGATAACAATTACTGGCACAGAGTTTTGTAATCAAACAACATACAATAGGAACAGGTGGGTCCTCTAGAGGAACTAGGAGAGGTTAGCACTACAATGACATTAAGTCCTGTCGGGTGTTTCCTTAGTTGTAATTCACCAATTTCCATATAATATTAAAATTAACCCAGTATATATCAGTGTGGGTATGGATTTGTCACTTCAAAAAGCTAAAACTGCTTTAACGGTAACTTTTACAATATCTTTATGAATAGTTCCATTAATCTATGACAAGGTAAATATTTTTTTACTCAGAGATATGTTTACTGAAAGTGCTGGCTATACTTAAAAGGTAGATGCAATGGTCACTGCCTTAGTAGTGCTCTACTTTCAATACATATACCATGTAGGCTGGAAGTACTGTATCTATTATGGTTACTTTCCCACATGAAAATAAATTTTGATTTTTAGACTTTGATAATGTTTCATGACAAAATAAATGTTTGCTAGGTTTAATGTGATTTTGGTTATTTTTTAGGAACAAAGTCATATCCCAGTCACCGTGTAATAGGCTAGTCAGTGTATAATATGTAAATTTGTGGATTTCACAGACATGTCCACATAAGTTTGTGAGATGAATACTGCAAGATGAATGAGAGGTCATTTGATAAATTTGAGTGCAATTTAACCTTGACAATGTTTCCAAATCTACAAAAGGATGTGTGAAAAACTGGGGATACACCTTTTGAATTCCATCAAATTTTATGGTTTTATACCAGCTTATTCAGAAGTAATAGGAGGTGTTCAGAGCCTGTTTTTGTGTGTGGTTCTTCCTTCATCTCAAGGTCAAGGTCATTATGACTTTCTTGAAGGATTTGTTGGGTCTGTTACCTTGATTTGTTTGTCTTTGTATTTTTTTTCTTCCTGAAGAATGAATTTCAGTTGTTACATTGCTGCTTGTCTTATGTTGGTGTTTGATGATTTCTTCCAGGAAGGTCATAGAATGACCTTGTCAATTGCAATAGCTTGTGCCAAGTCCTTACCTTAAGGTCAAAGACATTTATTGAGTTTTCTTTATTGTGTTATCTTGTATAGGGATCATCATTTCAATCATGAATCATGATTTTCTTAAACCCCAAGGTCAAGGACAGTTGATTGTCTTTAAGTTTGATTGGATGTTCTTTGCTAGGTCAAGGTCAGTTGCCTTTAGTGTCTTCATGTTTTTCATTGGTATGGTCAAGGGCAGGCAACTGTCTTTGTGATTCATCAGTTGCTCACTGAAATGTCTGAACTTTTGAAAAAAATGACATGGTTTAATTTTCATTTGATGTCCAAGTGACAGGTACATGTTGCTATAGACCACCTGAAGCACATGATAATTTTGCAGCAATCTAGACTGTTTTGAAGTGGATATTACATAGGTATAGAATTCTTGTTTGATAATTTCCCCGTTGGAACCTCCCATCTATTGTGATTTTCAAACACAGCAGTGAGAAACGTTCAATGTATTTGTAAGAGAGAAATGAATGTAAGATTATATGAAGGAAGTTACTCCATTTCATTTCCTTTCTGAATGAATGTAAAATAAACCTATGGTGAACCCCCAGTGTTATGGGCAGTGGTTATAAATAGACCCAGGAGTAGGTTCATTATGTTTATAATACTTGTGGTTGATCCAGGATCAGGGTGTATAATTTGTCTGCTGGTCTGGGACAGGTTTTGTTGGGGTAGGGCATGCTGGGGTCAGGGCCTAGCAAGTCTTTATAAACAGAGGTTTCTGAACAGAACATGGGCATGTGTTGTACTAAAACAAACTACATACATGTATGAAAGATTCCAGGGTACATGTTAGTATGATGATAAATCTATCTGAAACAAAATCATATCTGTTAGGAGACTCTCAAAAATCTTTAAAAGGTTAAAAATGTTAAGTTGATTACGTGTATGCATTTTGACTGTTGACCTGGGGTGATTGTAGTTGTATCAGTAAAATGTTCAAATAAGAACTGTAATTATAAAGTTATAGTGTCAATATTCCTTTCTTGTTACATGTATTTATTACATTTTTTGCAGTGAAAAACAAGATGTATGGTGAAAATAATTTCATAGCATGAAAACAATAAGCAGCATTTACAGAAAAAAATAATTTTTAGCAAAGTGCATTTCGGACTGTAGGAACCACAACTCTGTAAAGTCACAGGAAACTCTTGATTAAAAAATGTATTGATTCTCCATATTCAAAATTAAATAAAAGTATTTCATGTGATCTGTTCAATTATTTCATGTGTAACAATATAATTTGAAAGGTGATGATAATAGTGCAGCATATAGACCAAGCTGATATTTTCAAACTTTCTCGGTGAATGACAATTAAAATCATTGAGGTGGAAATTTAAACCATTTATCTTTTTCAAAATATCTATGGGTCCATACTATACGATGAAATTTAAAGTTCTGTTTTTCATTAAAATCTAGGAATATCCGCTATACCATATAGGGCCATGTCAGACAATATTTCAGTTTTGAGTGACAATTTTATAGTTTAGTTCAGCGTGCCTTAACTTTTACAATGCAAACATTTAACTGAACAAAGATAACAGGTTTATTATGTGGAGCTGAGCAATATAAGAATGAGACTCAGTGCCATATGTAGACTAGCATATAGTTTATTTAATAGCAACTATTTGGAAACATGGTACATGTATATTGGTATTGATGTGAACTGACACAGAAGTATCTAGAGAAAACCTGTGCATGGATTATTGGTCAAGCACATTATCGTTAGAAAGGTTAGTCTGATTCATGTGACACAGTCTGGTTTTCTGGTCACCTAGACGCTGCAGCACACCCCGACCTCCTTATTCATTTATTTTTTGTTGGGGGTAGGGTGAGGGTTATGTCGGGGAAGGGGAGGGGAGGGGATATTGTTATGGGTGGGGTGAGGGTTATGTTGGGGGAGGGGAAGGGGTTATGTTTGGGGTGGGGTGAGGGTTATGTTGGGGGATGGGAGGGGGTTATGTTATGGGTGGGATGGTGGTTATGTTGGTAGAGGGTGTAAGAAAAAGATATCTTTGATATCTTTTTCAAACTGGAAGTGTGGATATGCCTATCTGATGATGCAGAAGAATTTTGAGAGTCAAGTATGCTTGTGAGCAAATTTATTAAAAAAAAAAGGTTGAATTGAATGTTTATTTTGCCGTAGTTAGCCATACTTCTGTGAAAAAAATAATGTTATTTTCCCTAAAGTGAATGTAAAATAAAAAAAAATGTGACTGTTTTCCCTAATACCTTTTTATACAGACACCAGCAGCAGTAAATTTCAGGTAGAGAAAAACTGAATGAATTCTATTATTCTACTCCAATGTTATGTGTTGGTACAACTAAAATTATAGCCGATCTGTATTTGCATCTTTCTTACACTGTTAATGGAGTCAACAATTGAATTCCTGGTTTATGAATTTATAAGGTGCAGCAATGTGTTCTTTGTTATGACTCAAAGGTGGATAACTCTGTCAGCCATGAGACTAGGAGACTGAGGCCATGGAGATGATCATGATGTTATTGTGATTTCATTATCATGTGATCTGCATTGAGTTTGAGTTTCTTTAGAAAATGTTACACAAAATCATGTCGGCCACAGATTTAGATGTCTAATTAATGATAATTATAAGTCTGGCCAGAAGGAAGAATAATGATAATCTAATAAGAGTTTCCAATTCATACCATAAACATATCAAAATTTATGAAACAAATCTTACTCTGTTTCTCAGAATAAAGAATAAATTGTAGGGACCATTTGAAAAATAAAAAATGTTCCTTAGGAAGGTAGGTGCTTGAATATACAGAGATTGCATCACATCAATTAAAAATGTCAAGGAAATACACTAAATGAAAGTACAGTCT